AGACGGACCCTCCCTCTCGTCCTCTGCTCATGTCAAGGATGCAGAACGGAAACTTTACATGTGAGAAAAAAAGGTTGCCTTGAAGTTCCATGAATCATTGTGAGGGGCATTGCCCTACCTTGCCTCTTCCAAGTCATCTCCTCTATTTCCTCTTCAAGGTATCACGTGAAAGCAAACCACAACAGGCTGTGCCATTGCTTGCTCAAGCATCTTATTTTTATCCAACAGCAAACATCTTCACTTCCCCCTTTTCAGTAGATCAATGGCTCTCCCAAAATCTCCTACTGCAACAATGCACCCTGCAAATTTAACTGTGTCTGCACTGATGGCATCTTTAAGAGCCAAATAACTGACCTGCTCTCATTTTTCTTAAATGGTGACATTTTTATCATTCGAGAGATCATGGAAAAAAAAAAACAGTGAAGAAAATGATGTATTTTCACCTCAGATGATGGTCTCTCTTGACACCACAATCGCTCTCATGCCTCTGTTTCCAAACTTAAGATGGCCAGTACTGAGCAAAATCAGTCAGTTTACTCTCAGGTTTTCTCCATTCATTTTCATACAAATTTAATTGCTTTGAATTTTGGCTCTCAAGGGATGAATGAAAATTGGTAAAAGTATCAGTAGCTGACTTCTTTTACGTTTAGAAATAAGAAGGTGCCTATGGTTTCTCCTCTACTTTCATGTACTCAAAAAGCCAAACCAGTTGATAGTATTGTAAAGACATAAAATATTGGTGAGTGAAAAGTCAGACACCGAAAGAAATGTCAATGAAAAATGCATGTGCTACCCACCAGGTCATGTGGCCTGTCACAGCACTCAGTTATGGGCCAAGGAATAAAGTGCTAGTCCCTGATCTTACATCCTTAACTAAGAAAGGAACTATTTCAGCCACAAAATAAACTAAACCCAAACAGGAATGTGCTGGGAAGAGGAGGATTTCTGGCCATGCAGGGCACTGATGTTCTCTCTAAAGGGCAAGGAGCAGTAGAGTGTTTCATTTCTTTTCAGCCAGGTCTTAATCCTCCTTTAGGCACCTACAGCACAGTTGTCAGCAGCTCTCTGTGAGCTCTCCCTGAGCCTGCAGTCTGGATTCATACTACAGTCCATGTGAGGAGAAAACATTGATTTTTTCTCTTGTGCTAACTGGGAAATGGGGAGCGCTGGAATCGAAGCAAGCATTCATTTTGGTGTGCAGTTTATTACATTTAAGCAATTTACTATTAAGACATAATAACTCTCCCTGTCCCCCACCACCAAAACAAAGATGCCATATGCATCCCAGCTCAGGAAGGAGACAAATCTTTTAGAGTCTTCTGACACTACTAGAAACCTGGACATCTGGGCAACCTGGAGTCCTGGAGCTCCCAAAATGTGTGTTTTTCCTTTTGTTTAAGACAGGGACAAAGCACAGCTCCCTGCTGTAAGTGACTGCTCAAGATTTCAAGCCAGACACCCTCCTTTAGTACATAACATTGTGCTCTTCCTCTTTTATCTGAGCCCAGAGCAGGTCCAAACTGGAACTTCAAACATATAACCAACAGATGTTGTGAACATCTAGGGCCCCAGAAGGCAATTCAAATCCCATGATCCCAAAAGAGGAACTTGCTTCATGAAATGTTTTCTTGCACATACCCACAGATACTAGAAATCTCACGAGGACAACTGTGAACTGCTAACATTTCCACTGTTCAGAAGGAATACTTTTCCAGTCAGAACAAATAAGGACAGTTTAGTAACTGCAAACATAAACCAGAGTCCTGCTTCAGCCACACAACTGAAATGCTGCATCTTCGCCTAACCACAAACCCCATCTGGATCCTGCCATCACCCTTCTCGCTCACATTTAATTCTAGCAGCTATCAAATCACTTCTCTGACCCAAGTTTTGCCTCCCTGTACCTGTTAGTTTCACTGTGCCCACCCAGTTTTCAGCTTTTGGGGACATCTGCAAAACATCAAATGACTTTATTAAAGGTTTTATTAGTCAGAAGAGGCAACCTCTTTAAAAGGAGAAGCAGGAGGGGTTTCTTTTTCCCCAGGCTGCTGAAATACACAAATATTGTCACATTTGCTGAGGCCATTTCAAAATAAATAGATGCAGCCTGCAGGCTGGATGGTGATGGAGATCTACAGCTGGAGGGTGTAAAATTGGAATCCCCATCTATGGACATGCCACAGGGCTGCTCCCCTTGTGCAATACGCAAAGGAAGGAAGTTGAAAGGAAGCAATTTATGAGTTAGCCCTGAGTAATACAGTGATATGGTTAGCAATGCAGAGGTAGAAAAGCCTGTATGACAGAGTGAATATACGCGGGCTTGTAAATCAGTGCTGAATAGGAAATGAATGCGAGAAGGAGAAAAGTTGCCTAGTATTATTAGTGTGCATCCAGTAAGGTCACGGGCAACAGTAGAGGCATAGGACAAGGGAATAGAGGAAGAAAGGCTGCTTTTTGTATTTTATGTCTACACCTCAAATGTAACATAAATGGACAAGCAGTGTTGTCCTTTCCTTCATAGTTTCCTCAGAAGGAGGCAAGTGCTGTAGAGCACAACTATTAACTCCTAACACCCAGTCTGAGAAGGATGGGATATATTTACTTATTCAATAGGCAGAGTCCTGACTCAGAGGTAATAGAAGGGTTTTTTCTCTTATAATTTTGCTTATCCCTCCCATTTACTTTTTCACAGTTCTTCATAATGAACAACTTCAGATGAAACAAAACACATTCAGCTCCTGTGCTGAACTTGAATACAACTATACAGCAACTTTTGCTGGAGGTCAAAAATGTTGAATGAGTTTTTCCCCTCATTTGGCATTTTTGCCAAATTAACTCCTTGGACCCATCAATGATCAAAGATGTGATGAAGCACATGAAGGGGTAAAGGCTGCCCACTGGTGCAATTCCTTTCTTTTATTTATTTTCTGTTATACTGAAAAAGAACCACACCTCGGGTACATACTTGAGTTTTGATTAACCTCTGAAGGTTTAGACAAGGTTTGGGGTATTTATTGAAACATATACATGAACTTCAGGCTTTTAAGATTTGGTAATCAAGATTTAATTTATTTCTGTATAGACAGTTCCAGCCTACCAATTGTTATGCATTTGTTTAAAAGAGGAGGTCTAATGGCAGCACTTCTGGCTCCAAAGATACAGTCCAGCATTTAGAAAGGCACAAGAAATGTAAATTGAACAAAGAGTTTGAAACCATCTGCTGAATTTTTATTTAATTAAGGCCTCATCTGCATTTAAAACTGAAATTAAGGTAAGGGGTGAATTTAAATGAAAAAGAGATTGATGAATAACTTCATGGGCATTCGAGTTCGGGAAGAAGAGAACATTGTCCCGATTTACCTTAACACACTTCAAAATTATGTTATTTGAATTAGAGACACAGACTTCCCTATTCAAGAACAGGAACATCGATACTTGGAGTTAATCAGAAACACTTACTAAAGAGCAATCTATATGCAAGACAGTTTATGAAGAAAGCCAGCAAGGAATCCTGAAGTAAGCTTTGTGTTCCACACGTAATTCATAGAATTGCAGTTTAGGGAAGTTTCAAGCACACAACTTACCAAACCTCACACAGATTTTTCCTAGTAACATCTTCTTTGGGTGTAAATCTGGTGTAATGAATAGAAATAAGGGTGTGTTGTTTAAGGACAGAAATAATACCAAACACAAGTGTAATCATAGGCAGTTTGGGGTCACATGGGTCTTTTTGGTTTTGCCAGGTAGGCTCAAGCTGAACACAGAGAAGCTGTGAAAGCTAGACACCACAGGGACAGTTTGAGGCTGAAAATCCTGGTCCAGCTGAGCAGAGGAGATCCAGAAACCCGCCCCGAAAGTCAAGATGTCCTGGGATCCCTCCAGACACAGAATAAAGGATCTGTCTCATTCACTGTGGCACCAAAGAAGGATCTTTTGTATTTTTCAAAACAGGACTTGCACCCATGCATTGAGAAATCTCTCCATTACTTGGCACGAGCTGCAGCAAGCCTGAAACTCCCATTGAACTGCCCTATGAAACTGATGAGACATGAGTTATTCTAACAAAAGCCCCAATGGTGAAATGCACTGATTTCAAGTCACACTTTAGCCATACTCAGTTTTTGCTGTCATCAACAATGTTTCCCTGACCCCCCTGCCCTGTAGAACAGGACCAACTTTATTAGGCCTTAGAAGACCCAAAATTTTTATCTCTGGATCTTCTCCCACAAACCACACTTTAGTGATTCCTATAAAATAGCCTTTGGAGCCAAATAGATGCAATTTTGCTAAAGTTAAAGAATCCATTTTTCATGGCTTGTCGGGATGAATAGAAGCCAGGGCATTCAATTCAACCTGTGCTCGACCACACAGATTTGGGAAGTGATACTGTCTTGCTTGGCTCAGGGAACTTAGCCATGGATTTCAAGGGAAACATGGAAATGGAGACTGACTCTGAACTAGCCCAGGTTACTGGCCTGCTTCTAAAAAATGAAAAGAAATGTAAATTCTTCCTTCTCAGAAAACCAAAACATCATATTAACAGTGGGCTTACATCAGGCATTTCATTACAGGTCACTTATGACCATGTTCCTCTTCCTTTGACAGTTGGGTGGACCACCATATAGGCTGGAACAGTACTAACATAAAAAATTAAAATTAAAACCCCGACCACACTAATAGCCCCACCAGGGAACAGTGATGAACTCACAGTGTAGATGATAAAAAGAGCAGCTGTGGCGATCTCATATTCATTGCTGGTGCTTACAGCATCCTGCAGAAAGTAGGAAGCACTTCGCTTCACCACCCGAATACATGTAATTTCCCCCCCAAATAAACAAACATTTATCTTAGTTTGAAGTTTTTGATTATTTCCCCCCAAATTCTTTCTTCTCGGAGTCACAACTTACCTCAAGATGCATAGAGCTAAGACACTGCAGATTGCACAGGAGCCTAAAACCTGCCTGTAAGTGAATAAAATCAAATAACCGTAATAAAAAAAAAAGTTAATTCTAGGCTTTTGTTTGTTTCCTTTGTAAAATTGCCATGGGACTAAGGAAATATAGTAGTGCTTAATTTTAATAGTTCCATCATTGTAGATTAGCTGGGTATTAATTGTGTTAATGGTGATCATACTGAATTCATTTGGTATTTATTGAGAGACCACCTGTGCACCCATATGGTTTCCATCATTATTTAGGAGTAGTTAATGGACCCATTAGGAGTTAGCAGAAAGATGTGGGCTGGCAATACTTCCCGAGAGTGGTCGAAACATTCTGCTGATATCCATTGCGTTTTGAGGATTTTCCAAGGAGCTATTTGCTTCCCACCAATTTTCCTTCTCTCTAAGTTCCACATAATCTCATCTTAGCTTTCAAATGCTCCTGGAAAAATGAATTCATGTTTCTTGGCCTCTCACAAACCTAGGGGGGCAACCTTTAGCCTTCTGATCTTGCAAAATGTCCTTTAACATGTTTGTGCGCAGCTCTCAGAGCAAGGAGGGCACAGGAAAGACTTGGGGGGGGGGGTGCACTTGTGTGCTGGGGGGAGAGGGAGGGGAAAAGGGGAAATGTTGACTGGGACTCTGCAGTGTGACAGATTTGCCCACGCAATATGTAGCCTCAGTTGTGCAAGACCAGAAACCTGTGGTGGGGAGGGGATGGCGGGGGAGTCACATGAGGGGAGTCAGCCTTGACTGTCAGCAGAGAAGGAAGAATGTTTTGGCTGGGTGTGGTGGTAACCAAGGCTGCTCGCTGACCGCAGTGACCTCCTGCTTTGATCCGCATATCTGAAAAGGCACTGCTGAAGCTCCGCTCTGCACAGGGCGAGTAAACACGCGCGAGGGTGTAGAAAAGAATTTCCATTTTTGGTGCCACGACAATGGGCAGATGGAGGAGCATCTGTGTAGCTTCAGTGCAAAAGGACAGTTATTTTGTTCAAACTGGAATCTCCGGAGCAGTCTGAAGTGAGAGAAGTGAATTATTTCCCCAGAAACAGGGAGCCTCACTCCCCCCCGAGTCTCCTACCTAAAAACTTTAGGTGTATTTTCTGTGTGCATCCTTAACAATACAAGGTTTGCAGGATCTCTGCTCTGTACCAATATCCATCTGTCAGCCATCTCTAATAACTTTTGAGCTTACTGGCCAATTGCAACCAAATTTGATGAAACAGTAGAGGTCTCAAAGGTTTTAGGTTTTGTAAAAATGGGGAGAGGATAGAGGAAGGGTCCCAGCTAATGCTGCGCAAGAGGCTCAGTCTTCCTCAGCTGTAGCCCTAGACAACAGACTTCACCCAGGTTTTTTCTCCTCAGGGAAATCTGTAAGTTTCTCTCTCTTACAGGTGTCTGAAAAACCTTTCCCTCTGTTTAAAGAATTTTAAAACTCTCTTCTTCTCACATACAAAATTAACAAGGAAAGCATTAATGCTGCATCTCTTCTAGAGTTCAAGTCAGGAAGCCACATGGTACACATCATGAGCATCCCAAATTCATTAGTTCTCTTGCTCATGGAAATACTTGTTTTAATAAACAAGGAAGAGACCAAGCTGTCTTCTGTTTTTGGTAGAGAAACTATTAAATTAACAGTTACTCATTATAAGTGTATGCACAAGGTGAATGAGGCCTGAAACAATCATTTCTGCATGTGAGGAATATAATCAGGGTGCTATTGGTATGACTCTGGTGATTATTCATACTTATATTCACAACCTGATCTTGTTAAATGAGGCTGTGTTCTCAGAAATAGCACACTTGGCATTTAAAGGAGGCTCTTTTCTGCAGCCAGCTCAGACTTCAGTGCATCTCTTGACAGGACCCCTTCCTTTTCTAATCTGTATATATTTGAGCTGTATTCTTAACCTCCTATTAATACCATAGATGCATCTGTGTTAGCATTTTCATAATTCCCTGTTGAGGGAAATCTCTCAACTGTCTTCATTTATGATACTTACGTTTGAAATTCACAAACTAGATTATGTTGGCGAAAAGTTAAACCAAAAGATGTGCATTGAAAGGGCTTCAACTGCTAGTAAGCTTTCAGTCCAGTGTATCAGACTAGATCTACTGCAAAATAGCCTCCTAAAACCAATATGATACAGAGGTTGGGTTCTCATCACCAACAGTTTCACTGCACAGAACTGCCTCCATTGCATTGCTTCTCCGGTTTTTGTTCCTGTGTCAGCTCCCTGTGGAGGTGAGAGCATTTGTACAGAGTGGGTTATTGCACTTCAGTAGAAGTTTCTTAACTTCTGATTTATGATATTATGAATATTTGTGATGTTTATGATATTATGAGTATGAATATTAAGATATTCTGAAGTTATTTCCCAAGATTTAAGAAGGTTGGGTCTGGGCTGGTTGTTACAGAATTAAGTGGCATTTCTCTGATAAGGAACAATTTGAAACGCAAATAATTTCTGCCATGAATTAATTGCCTTTGACTCCTCAGGTGTGCTCCAGTCCCCCCTTACCTCACCACCAGGGAAGAACTTCTGCCTAAGATCCCATCTCAATCTATCTCCTCTCTGGCAGGTTAAAGCCGTTCCCCTTGTCCTGTCCCTACAGGCCCCTGTCCAAAGCCCCTCTCCAATTTATTTATTAATATTTATTTATTTGTATTTAGTTTATTTATTAGTGAGGGGCTTGCACAGTGTGCCCAGAGAAGCTGTGGCTGCCCCATCCCTGGCAGTTTTCAAGACCAGGTTGGACACAGGGGCTTGGAGCAAGCTGCTCTAGTGGAAGGGGTCCCTGCCTGTGGCAGGGGTTGGAACTGGATGAGCTTTAAGGTCCCTTCCAATGCAAACCAGGCTGGGAACCTATTTCACTGCCTCTTACTTAAAATCCCTCCCTTGTACATTTTTTAGGGTCCACACAGCTGAGGCTGCACCTGAAATGCAAAAGCATCTCCAAGTCTTACCTCCTGCTTTATTCAGTAGCAAAGCACTGAAAGGACTGGAAACAAAGCAAGTTGAAGCTCTTTTCAAAGGTGTTGAAAACCCTTGCAGCATCTCTTTTAAGCTAAGATGAGCAGACAGTAGATCTTCCTAGAAATCCACACTGAAGCTGCTTTGTCCTGTATGGAAAAGCATTCCATCACATCTTCCACCTACATGTGTTTTTAGTGGAAATCCATTACTTCCTTTTGATGTGCTTTTGGGGTGTAAACAACAATAATGAAAACAAGACTCTGAAGGCAGTTTCCCTGTGTGAAGCAAGGCCTACCCAAGTGACAGAGAAGCCAAAGAGAGCATTTTGAGATTATTCCAGTTCCAAATGGAAATTCAGCAAATGAGAAGTGTTTGCATACGTGCTGAACATCGTGTGAAAGCTGGATGCTGTAGGGGCTGTCTCTAAGGCCACATAGCTGTTCCCAAACAGTAGCTCTGTGTTTAGAGGTCAGTGCTGCACTTAGCAAGCTCCTGTGCAGGGATCTGTATGAAAGAGGCTGTATGCCTTCCATACTTGCAGCACTGGTACTGGGGCACCCAAAGGTGACAGGAGAAAGCTGCACACCTGCGGGGTGGTCAGGATGCTCCGTCTCTGCAGGAAGATGCAGAAGAGGAACTGAACTGGTTGGGATAGGTCTACACCACCAGTTAACAACAGATTTAGGCATGTTGTGTCCAGCTCTCTGTGTGTGTTCCACCCACACTGCTCAGTCACACAGCATAGGAAAGATTTCCCCCAGCTTTAGATATCTCCTGTGTCTAAATACATTTGAGTAACCAATGTAAGCCTCTGTGCAGACACGACACTTGAGCTAGCTGGCTAGCGTGGCCTTGTTTATAGCTATTAGTGGGCAGAGAGGAGTGCTGCTAAAGCATGACTCTTCTGACCTGCTTTAGAGGGTCCTTCTTAGAAGCAGATAGTAACCCTAGAAATGCTTGTTCTTCTCCTTTGATTATACACCACAATTAGCTCAGCAGCAGATACCTGAGGTTTAATGGAACCTGAGGTTTAATGAACCCCAACTGCACTGAGGACACTCAGACACAGAAAGATATTGCACATGGTCAGGGTATAAAGCTCTTCAATGAAAGGTCATAGACCTTTGGAGACAGACACTGGGTGCAGCCAGGTTCACTCCTGCCCTGTATGAGGGATCAGGCTGAGGCCAGCATGTACTATGGCTGGTCCAGCCACAGACCGTGATGCTGGGCTAAGCACTCCTCTTTATGTGGCTTGTGCATTAACATGGCAAGGATGGAAAGATCTAATCCTGAGACTGGGTGTGAGCCTACACTTTCCTGACAATCTTCAAGGTCTTTTCCAACCTAGCTGATTCTCTGATTCTGTGACAGCACAGAATATTCCTGAGCCACGTGGAGCCAGTGACACACAGCTTCACAGAGGGGTTTGCCTACAAATGGGGTCTAGCTTCGAGCTGGTGATATTTAGTACTGAAATAGGGGGTGATCTCTGTCACAAAGCTTGGGAAACAGAAGGTAAGATGTATGGAACCAGGAAAGTAATTGCCACCAGCCTTTGATCCTTAACCTGTCTATCAGACTCCACAGGAACTCCCCCCAAACCTGAATACTCATTATTTATTTTTATGATTATGTTTTTCAATGGACTTTTACCCTTCCTTCCTCTGGGTACAATCTGTGTGGCCAAAAATAATGTGAGATCTGGTCTTCTACCGTGTTTTGACTCCCAGGGAACTGAAGAACCGTGAGAAGATCCAATCTGATGTTATTTCAGCCCCACAAATGCTCCCTGAGTGACTCAAAGTGCTTGGAAAAAAGAAGTAAACACAAATACCTGAAACAAAAATATAAGTCCCCAGAGCCACACGCACCACAGTCCGTCAGAGCAGGAAGGACAACCCAACCCCTCCCGGTGATGTCTGTCTGCAAGGTTCTCTGGGTTATTTGTCCACATTTAATGCAGCTCTCAAGGGGAAGTTGAACAAGTTGTGTTGTTCCTTTTAACGAGTTATATTCATCTGCCTATTTCTCCTCTTCTTCTCCAAGAGAAGAGACTGAACCAAACCTCAGAATCTAAATCAGTGAAGCTCCGTGACTGTCAGCTATAGAGCTGGATGCAGCATTTTTCCCTTTCAGTCCTCTGCTCCCTCAGGCTTGCCTGAAGGATGGCATGAATTTCATCGTATCTTGTGTGCTGCTTTGAATCATCAGTGCTTTCACCTCTAAACACTGGGCTCATCACTGTGACCAGCCACACTTAACACAACCCACCTGCTCCCAGTGCAACTGCTTGCCACTGCTTATCCCATCCCATCCCATCCCATCCCATCCCATCCCATCCCATCCCATCCCATCCCATCCCATCCCATCCCACTCTACAATCCCCATGTTCATGACCATGCCGGAAATCTTATTTTACGCAAAACTTGTGTTCTCACCTCAGAGGAGACACCACCACTGTGTCTCCTGCCCCTTGCACTTAAGTGGGTCTTTCAATAGACACTGTGGGAACCCATCTACAGCTGATTATGGTGCAGACCAACATGAGTTTTATCCCTCTTTGTGGGAGACAGAAGATATTTTTTAGGCTGCGTAAACTACCGCACATTAATCATAAATGCTTAGTCATCTGCAAGGGGTGCTATGCCCCCTTCATTCATTACCTTATTGCAAGCTTTATTTTCTTAAATGCATGAATCTTTATTTAGTTTTCTTTCTTTTAGACATGAATATGTGAGTCACACGTGCAACACGGATCTGAGAATCTATTGACACAAGAACTAGTTTTAAAACATGGAGTATCCAAATATTACAGAATGGAGAAGTCATACTGTGCCATAGCAAATTCCAGCCAGTAAGTGTTCAATTTAGGATAATACTGAAAAGTCTGACCTCAGTTTTACCCATGCAGTGTCAGTGTTCCAGTACAAACCAAGAGTTATTTACAGTGGTGCCCTGGGAGAGATGGGATCTTCTGGGACTTTCTGGCTGCCAGTGATGTACAGTGACTATTTGGGTTAGAAACAGTATGCCTGGACCACTGGGTTGTAGGTCATAATACCAAAGATATTGCTGTCTTTTTGATTGCGCTCATTTCCCCTTAACATAGGACAAACCCTTTTACCTCCTTGTGTCTCCATCCAGCTCTTGTCTATTCAGCTAGCCTGGGCACAGCTTAGCTGCAGCAAGCAACAGGTGATTTTGTTACCCGAATTGGGTGATCTCTAAAATTAAAAGGTCAATCAGACCTTTGAATCTGAAAGACAGCATTTCTATTTCGGGAGGAAAAAAACTTTTTGGAGATGGGTTGCAAAGCCACATCTCAAATTCTCCAAGTTTCCATCTAATTCAGGCTCAGGTTTTTAGCTCAAGCACATCTGGAACTATTCTTCCTTCAAACATGTGGTACATGTCCTAGAAGAGAGTATTTTTAAACAAAATAGTAATAAGAAAAGGCCCCAGACCAGGAGCAACCCTCTGCTTTTCCACAGAAGCAAGGCAGGGCTGCTACCCAGGGCAGTGCCAACAAAAGCCCAAAACAAAGTTATGTAATAATGACAAATATCAAACTGAAGGGAAGCCGGGAGGGGGGAATGTCGCTCTCCCTCTTCCCGCATAGCTCCCTCCTCCTGTTTTCCTGGCCCACTCATGCGTAACTGACTCCAATAAACCATGAAAAGAGCAACTTGGCAGCAGCTGGCACGCTGGACCTGGGCAGATGCCAGCAGCGGGGCTCCCACTGGCTTTGAAATTTGTATTTTCATATATATATATATATATTAAAATACACGTATGTCAGTCTGAATGGCTGAGTGAGCCACTGAAATGAAGACAAGCAAAGGCAGCGATTGGCATACACTCTGCATGTTCTCCAGATTTTGTGTCCCCTTACTCTGTCAGGCTAACTCCTCTAATGAGGTTCTTATGCAACTTTACTTACAGGGAGCCTGAGTCCTTCTGCTTTAAGTCAGTAGGAAGTTTTCAGCTGATTATCAAGACTAGTATTTTGTCATATGTTCATCAGTCACAAGAAGCTACAGAGTTTGACTTTCAGTGTCACAGTCAGGAAGATTTCTCTGTGCAATGAGCAATCAATTAGATTTCTCTATGCAATTAGATACATAAATATGCCATTTTCTTGTTTGTATCTATTATTTATCCTGTGGAGTATCTCTTTCCTGAAGCCACACTTGATGCTTTGTGAAAAGGGAAAAAAGGACAGCCTCAGCCCCAGGGGAATGCCCGGTGTGATGCCTGTTGCTGACTTTCCAAAGCAGCAATAAAGATCTGCAAAGAAGGGGATCCCTTTGAACCAGACTGTAGTGGTGAGAGCCCTTCGGGAAACAAAGGGCTCATGTGGGTCATAGAGGATGAGGCAGCAAGGCAGTTGCTATCAACATCCAGACAGGAGCACAACCTGTGCTAAACTCTCTGTACCCTGTTATCACAGTTCCTCCACTTGTTTAAAGGGCAACCAGGATCTGCTTGAGCACATCTTGGAGTCACACCAACATAAATGTCGCCTTTTGCTTCTCTGACCCCTGACAAGTCTTTGAGCATCTGCCCTGCACAGGCATTCAGCCATCTCTGAGAAGAGGACTCTTCAGAAAAACAAAGTGTTTTCCTGTGTCTTGAGCTGACAAATGGAGCAGAGACTCCAACAACTCACAGACTAAACAGCAGAACCTATTATTTCTTTTTTGTTTTAGGACTCACATCAGCGACAGAGAATGGAAAAAACGTGTGAATCAGGTCATTTCCAAGTTACGTGATTCACTCCGATAGGATGTTGCATTTCTTTGTCTCTCTTCAAAGAATCATGTGGAACAAAACCACAACATGCTGCTGACTTGCTATGGGGTGGGTGGAGGGAAAGAACAAAAGTGACCCTTATTTTAGAAAATAGCTATCATGCTCATGTTCTTCCAGGTGTCTTCAAGGCCTAGAGAGGTTTGACAGAATTCCCATGAATGACCCACAATTTGCCCACAATTCTGTCCCACTATCTCTCTCTCATGTATAATAGAGCTGGAAGCTTGTGGTTGAGTGACCTCAGCATCGTTGCAAAAGTTTGCTTGCATTATTCTCACAACACGTGATTCCATAGGAAACACTACTCTATGCCTAGCTACTTTTCATTAACTCTTTCCTAGAAGGCAGAGCACTGAAGAAACCACAGATACGGGACCCTCTCTCCATGGGACCCATGCAGGGCAGTTACAAGCATTTGCCCACATCCCACACCCTCCAGGGTGGATTTTCTCTGCCCCAGAAGGACTAGAGGGAGCAGTGCACGGCTGCAGCGCTGGTCAAGTTTGTGTGCGTTTGAGCTATGCTGCTTTTTACCAGATGCACTGAAGAAATCTGCCCCTGCCCTCCAGGATAAGGTGCTATACACAGGAGCACTGACCTCACAGTGCCTGTTTGCCAGCCCAGAGTACTCTGGCTACCCTAAAACTACATGATTGGTATCTTAGTCCTATACATGTTAGGAGTGCACAAAGGGAGCAACAGAGTGTTAGATGAAATACATTTTTCTTGCTTTAAAACATTTGAAATACTGGGGGAGACACAACACGACACACATAGAGAAGCACTGTCCACTTTGAACTTCTCTATCAAGTGTATGTTTTATTCCCAAAACACTTTTTTTTCCCTCCTTCTTTCTTTGTATAGAGATATTGGGGGCTGGGTATGTTAGAGGGGAAGTTGTCCTCTCCCTCCCTGAGCCCTCTTTGCTGTGAGGAAGCAGCCCAACTAACATGGTCACCAAAGGCTCTGGACACTGGGATGAACAGCTTGTAAAACTGTCTTCCTGCATGTTTGCAAAACACTTAGCACAGCAAGGGTCTGATTGTATTGCTACAGTGCTGGTGATAGATATAGCTAATAATGAAAGCAGAAAGAAACTGTTACTGGGTGGTGCATGAGAATGGCAGAATTGGCTATTGCTGTTTCCAAGCATATGAAGATTAGGATGAGAAATTCTTTGCATGCATAGTGAAGTGTTGCTTCCAAAACCCAACTGAGGATGTATGGAAGCAATCCTTAACATGTTTGTTTCAGGTTTGGTATGAAACCTTCTTCATATTACAAGACACAGTCCCACTGCAGGTCTAAAGGAGACCCCAGTCAGGAAGGATGCAGTGGATAAATGCCACAGGACAGGGCAGGCACTCTTCAAATCCGACAGTGAAACCAGCATAATGAAACTTCCTACTGCCATGCAGGGAAATCTTGTTCATTTAATCAAGTCCTTCCAGTGCACTGGAATATAGATGTTTCCCAAGGGATGACAGCTTCAGACAGGAGACTCCCAGCAGCAAGAAGGTAGAGCCAGTAAAAAGATGGGAACACACAGTAACTGATCACTGTGTATGGCTCTAGGATGAAGGTGTCCCTGCCATGAATGGAGGTTGTCGTGTTCCAGAGTCCCCATTTAAACATGTTAGGTCTTGTTGTACATAATCTGGATGAAGTTCAGGTGTTGCAGAGGGACAAACCATCATCTGCTCCACAGTGCACCCCTTGTGGTGTGGGTGCTGAGCACACGGAGGGGTCCTGGGGGCTGCGAGAACTTTGCAAGCCACAGGAGCAGCCGTGCTCTTCTCCCCTGAGACAGGGCCCTTGCTGGCTGCCAAACTGTATGCGGTGATTATGCAGCATGGGCATCCCTTCAGCTGCTAAGATAAGGCCTTCTGACTCATTTCCACTTAGAATCTAGATGACAGTTTGGTTTGAATTAGCCACAAGCTAAAGCCAAAACCCTGGTTCTGAACTTTCTCAGATTTTGGGAAGACTCCAGTCTGGATCTGAGCTTAGTACATGGCTCTCACTTACATAGATTATAGCCAAACTGTGGATCAGAACATTCCCAGAATATGGGGAAGCTCAGTGCTCGTATTTGGTGCTGGGATCATATCAATCACAGGTTTCAAGGATGAAATACTGTCCCTGCGTTAGCTTATTCTTTGTTTTCTTCCATAGCTGGTGTTTAACAAGTGCCTTTTTAGCTCCGTAATTGTACCTTCCCAGTTCTTGCAAACAAGAATAAACAAGAAAAAAAGAGATGAGTGTGTGTGCATGTATATTTCAACTGGGAAAGCATCTTCTTTTGAATTTGCCTATTGGATACACAAGAAGCTTTTTGGTTTCAGATGACAGTTGTGTCTCATTCATAAAATTCTGGACACAATTCCAGTGCCCTGACTACCAGAGCCTTTCAGCGCGGGATGTGGCACCATGACTGCAGTGAGAGCTTCTCAGGCATGCGCTGCCCCGCAGCTTGCCCTTGGATGAATCCTTCAAAGAATAGGACTGAAGAGTAACAAAATTCCACTTTCAAGCTGTTCAGAAGACATGGTGCTAACAAACAGCTCCCGAAAGGCGAGATCTTGCAATCTGCTGTTGTGGAGCAGCTGAAAAGCCGGTTCTCAAGTCCCGGGCATCTCAGTGTGTGAAGCACAGGCAGGGAAGCACAAGAAATCCCACAGAAGGTGTTCCTTCGAACGTCTGGAAAATGTCAAACTGCCTGCCACTCTGTGCTGAGGCAAATCTCAGCTCCAACAGAAGGCTTTGTCAACACAGTGCCATATCATTAGCTCGAGGTTTATACACTTCAGTTGACACCTCTCCCTTGTCCTACAGATGTTGCATTACATTTAGGATTAAGCCTCTAACAATACAGCTGTTTGAACACATGTGCATTTTCCACTCAACAAACCGCAAGGATATGGCAGCAGGGTTACAACGTTTGGATCCTAGGGCTAGAATGAGAGAAGCAGAGAAAGGTGTTTCATTGGGAAATCTCTGTAGTTTCTCCTGTAGTTTCTCTCTTTCTGATTTTATTCGCTGACTGTACTTAACTCAGGCCATAGGGAAGGTAAAATCTGATTGATATTGCAAGTGACAACTGAGGCCTTGAAATTATTTCCTCAGTTCATCTTCAAGAGGTGTTAAGCCCACAGCATTTTGCTAGTTCTAGAGAAGTAGAGCCATTTTGACTTTTATTTGCAGAAATCCACTTTATTCCAATTCCTGTTAATCCTGTTACTTGTGAATAAATTCCTGTTACTTGTGAATAAAGTAGAACCTGCCCCAATAAATGGGTTTAAAGAAGAATTATCATATATGCTCATAAGTGAAAGATTTTATAATGTTCTTTCCACTTTTGCCACTACAGAATAGGAGAAGCAATGGCTAGGTTTTACTGGGAGTCTCACAAAATCATTGAATGCCCTTTCTGCTATCAATAAAGTACAGAAATTGGGGAGACTCACATGGGTGATTTAATAAAATAAAGTGAGCCCCCAAATGGGCTTCTTAAGGAACACGAGGACTCGGGTATCATTCTTCTCTCTTTGCCAAGGGCATCTATTGCAGGTACATTCAATTATTTGACTCCTGATTTACATCAGTTGTTGTAAGAATTGCATTTCTTTTTCATCTGATCAACATCTGCTTTTTTTTTTGAAAAACAGATGTGCACAAATCAATCTGATTAATGTGCTTGATTCTGCAATTACTGCGGGATAAATCAGCAGCGCGCTAAAATCAACCTGGTGTCAAATTTATCCTCCTACACCTTCAGTGTTCAGCCTGACTTCAATTAGATTTTTGCTTTGTGAAACTTCTTTAGATACAAAAGGGGTAAAGTAAAACCCAGAGTGCCAGGACACGGAGCATTTCTGATGATGTGGTGTGGAGTTACCACTAACTAGAAGTGTCCGTTTGGGACTGCAATGACAAAATGCAGCAAATCTTTGAATAGGCTGCAGGCTATCTCATGTCTTAACAGGGCAGAAGGGACCCTTTCTCATAGTTACTCAAGCATCTGAGATAGTAATTGGAGTTGTCAAAGCAAAATATAAATACGTATAATTATAAAAATGAAAAATATATAAAATATAAAAATACAGACTGATTCAAAGGACATGAACCTTTCTTAAAGCAGTGAGGGATGCAACTGATTATCTAGTGGAGAACAACAACATATGGCTGTTTTCTTTGTGGCTCCTGCTGCTCCAGGAGACAGAGGCAACATAGGAATTGAAAGTAGTGGAGTGTTCTTTACAGATTTAGTTATAACTTATTTTGATGTCTACATGAAGGGAAAGGTGAGTGGGAAAATTCACATCTTCCTTACAGGACCCTCTGCTGCTTACCTTAGCCTAGTGTAAGGTGCTATTCACAATGCCCTGTGTTGTGAAAAGACTTTCATGTTCGCCGGTGTCATGTTCTGCATCACTTTTTTAAAGCTCCTCCAGCTTCAACCCCTCCCACGGGCAGGGACCCCTTCCACTGGAGCAGCTTGCTCCAAGCCCCTGTGTCCAACCTGCCCTTGAACACTGCCAGGGATGGGGCAGCCACAGCTTCTCTGGGCACCCTGTGCCAGCGCCTCAGCACCCTCACAGGGAAGAGCTTCTGCCTAAGAGCTCATCTCAGTCTCCCCTCTGGCAGGTTCAAGCCATTCCCCTTGGCCTGTCCCTACAGGCCCTTGTCCCAAGCCCCTCTCCAGCTTTCCTGCAGCCCCTTCAGGCACTGGAGCTGCTCTCAGGTCTCCCCTTCAGGAGCCTTCTCTTGTCCAGGCTGCCCCAGCCCAGCTCTCTCAGCCTGGCTCCAGAGCAGAGCTGCTCCAGCCCTCGCAGCATCTCCATGGCCTCCTCTGGACTTGATCAGCTGTAATCCCCCATGACCTGCCCAGTTCAGCACAGCAGATGTTCATGGGTCATGGCTGCAGCATTCGTTTGTTGTAGGTGCGGTGCTGATACTGTTAGCACTGGGACAAATATACTCCTTGACTTTGATATTTTTATAAAGAGGGGTGATTTAGGTGAGAATAAAATGAGGAATACTTTTTTTCCCTTATTCACTCTGTCACAGCTGACTTTCATCTTCTTTAAATATGGGCCCTATGATCAGAACTCAAATCCACATCCAAACCTGCATTTCCCCCAAATCTGGGGGTGTTTTGAGCTGGAATCCATCACTTACTTTTTTATTTTTATTTCTTCTTCAGCTAGAACCTAATAAATGTGCTCTATAAAAAATGAGCTCAGCCAACATCTGGAGGCAGATAAAAATCCTCCAAGCTACTGTTCCACAATCTTAGGGATCATTAGCACTGCAGAATGTCTATACAGAATATTTATCTTAAGCATATAATAAAATGAAAGCTACTGTGCCAAATTCAGAACAACCTCTGATGAAAAGAAATGCCTCACATCAACATTAAGCTAGAGCTTTTCTAGCCAGAGAGAATCTTTTCTCTAGCCAAAGTACAGCAACTTGTAGTTACAAAAACTTAACTCTAAACACAGGTATGGGGGGAATTTATTATTTTAATTGTGAGTCTTCATCACTGGTTAGTTTAATGTGTCTCGCCTCCTTTTTGTTTTAATCACCATCCCCCTCTCCTTGGGATGGTTTATCGCTTGTAAATTATTTGTCACATCGTTGTAATTCTATCCAGATCCTTAACTTTCTAATCATGCATCTTTTATGGGGCCTCTTTTAAAGAAGCACTATAATTACTTGCCAAGGGTCCCTGTAAATTTTATCAGGCTGTAAAATATTACACTTTAATCATTTGGAAAAAAAATAATTGGAAATGTTCCCTCTGAAAGGGTACACGATCGATCCTGCGAGGAGCACGGCACTTTCGGCAGTTTTGCATTTGTTCCTGATGCATATACCTCAGGAGCCGTCAAAACTCCTCCACTGCATTCAGTGTCATGGGGAAGTATTAATGGAGAAACTGGCCTTTGATTAAGCTGAAGATATTGCTTACTGCAAGTTTTAGCTGTTGCAAAATACACTGTGAGGATGGCAAAGGGTGCTCTCAAATTCTCTCAGTTGAAGTCTCAGCAATCGGCTTGGTGAAAGAGGTGTTTAAGAGCAGAGCAGAAATGCAAAATAAACTGTAGACACAGGAATAAGCCGAACCTTCCTTATAGGAAATTGAACCTTTTTTAGAGAGATAATTCTCTGTTTCCAAACAGATTTTGCAACTATCATCTTGTCATTTAGTTTTATTTGTAGCAAATAGACAGAAATACACATAACATTTCTACTTCTAATATTTCACAGAATCACAGAACTGTTTGGGTTGGAAGGGACCTTAAAGACCACCTGGTTCCAACCCGCCTGCTATGGACACGGACACCTTCCACTGGCAGCAAGCACTTTGGACTCATTTCTGTCAACCTTTACAGCAGGAACTAGCAACTTCCATGATGCTGTTTTCAAGAACAAGTGTGAGGAAATTATGTACGTGATAGTTACCTGAAGTGTTTTCTGGAACAGCGTTTCACATGCACCATTCCAAACATTGCTTTGCAGTTATTTTAAGTCTATATGTGTATAAGGTTTAAAATTCTATGTCATGCTCATCACCAGCACTTCAATTAAAGCCCTTGCACATTTCTGGTAAGTACGCATTTCCTTAGATAGCTGAGCTGAAATACGAGCGAGTTAAATGATTTGGTCAAGGAGCACAGTAAGCTGGAAGCAAAGTAAAATATAGATCTCACCTCAGCTCTATACTCCTGGGGACAACTATGGGATATGCTTAAGAGGAAGGACAGCCTATCTGTACTATTTCTCTTATGCTGAAAGAAGCCCTGAAAGGATCCTCTTATCCTATCTGTCCAGTGGCTTTCAGATACTATCATGGGAATACCCACAGTTTTCTTTCTCTATATTGGACCAGATAAGACTCATCAGTGCTCAGACAGGTCAGGTAAAGGCACTGTTAGATCTCAGCATTCCTGTTTCCCAGGTTTTCTGTAAATACAAACTAAAAGTACCTTTCCTGAATGCCCTTTCCAGAAAATCTCTGCACCACAAGTAAACCATCCACATTCTGCGCAGCATCAGCTTTGCAGCAGCCTTTGGCTTGGTGATCAGTGGCATTGAGCATGGAGAAATCTCTGTGCATCAGCACACGTGTGCAGGTAAGGCACAGAGCTGTCAGAGCTGAGAGTGATGTCTTACAGCTAAAGCAGTCCTAAGGGCCAGTGCACTGCACCACACAACAGCGTTCAGGGGACCATAAAGTAAATTTCTTTCATTCATGATTCAGGCAAAGTCAAGAGATGATTGTTCATGAATGAGACAGACCCTGACCATTATTTACAGTAGTTGTTGACCACCAGAAACTGTTGAATGAATATCCCTTATAAACCATACATAGGTAAATATAAAGCTGGCTCAAGTTGCTTATGTTGTTGCTATTCTTAATAGCCGAATGCTGACAGAAGGCAGTGATGAGTTCTAGCCATCGTTAAAGACAGATATAGTTATGGATGAATTAGTCATTGCAAGACAGGGGTTCAACTGAAGTAACATTTCTACCTGTAGGCAGGTTGTCCACAAAGACATCTATGTTTGTTTCATATCCATCTCCATACTAATACAGCAAATAAAGAAACTCTAACAACAGGTAGCCTGAAAAGCATAAAATACATCCACTTGCAATTAACCAGACATGCTGCAGATGTCTGAAAATCAGTATAAGAATGATTTCCACAGCCTGACATCTGGTCCTACAAGGGTCCCTGGGGACTCCTCTGCTGCTGTGTGAGCTCAGGGGTCAGGTTCATGCTCCAAGACAGCTCCCTAAACCCTTCAGCTGTTTACCTTGCTGCTGTAAGAGTTTACACCTCTGCTCACAGCTCAGAGGGAGGAAGCTGTCCTGCTGACTTGGAAACGCAAGTACCAGGTTTTTAGTCTTTAGCCCTGCTTCAGAGCCACCCCTCCAGGCAGGCAGTGCCACAGGCTGAGCCAAAATGGGTTCAAACCTGGACATCAAAAGAAAAAGATAAAACAAAGAAAGAAGAAAAGGCACGATATGCAGATCTATTCTGCATCCCAAAGGACAGGGAGCAAAACATGCAAATAGTTGCTTTTTGGAACCTGCGAAGTTGCCACTGCCTGCAACCAGCGTTACCCCCTTCTCTGGTTAACTCAAGCCACTTGACAACCACTTCAGCATTGCTCTTTATTCAAAACAGCCACTTCCCTTTGATTCCTCCCAGTCAGGGACAGCACTTATACTCCAGCCTGCATTTACACTCCCTCCTTGTCTAGATTTCCTGCCTTTATCTGGAAAGCCTGGTCCCCCCTGTCTCGCTCTGCTTACCCACCTGCAGCGATGCGGATGCAACCTGGCAGCTCTGAGCCCAGCTCCTGTTGGGACTGGCAGGAGCAAAGCCTGCTGTGGTACATCAGCAGCTTGCTGGAGGGCAGGCAGCAGCTGGAAAGCAAACAGGCTCCCAGCTCTGGGGGTACAAGCTGTCCTGCAGGCTGGCTGACAGCTACACATCAGCTCCATTGAACAGGAGGGCAGGGAGACACTTTCTGCGTGTCAGCTTTGCAGCCAGGGATGCGGGGACTTGCTCCTTTCTCCTTGCATGCAGACGGTATCCATCACCACCACCATTTTCTGTAGCAAGGGGAATGAAGAAGAGGAATTAAATGCAGGACCAGAAATAAACACTGGTTTTGGCGCATGTTTTTGCTAATTTATCACTTGCTCATTTCAACAACTGCTTTGTAAGTGGTTAGCAAACTTTATTAATTTCTGGAGAGTTTAGTGATCACTATCTATAATACTGAGATATGACAGTGAAATAAAGCATGTCCTCAACTGTTATGGCTATAGGCACACAAAGTAGAGTCTTACAAGCTGGACACTAATAAAAAAGCCATAACCCCTTTTCTCTTCCCCTTTTCTCTTCCATCCATTACTATAAAAGCATCTTAGCTTCTGGTCTGAAAAAAATATACTTCTCAGTATGTCATCTACTAAAGATCTCTACAGAATAAAGATCCTGTATTTTTTTCAATATAGTAATTAAAAAAAAAAACAACAATAAAACCAAACAAAAATCAACTTGTACTGGACTGAACACCTGAGGGCTTACCTAATGGTGATGACCTGACACATGGTGTTTTGAAGATGACAGGGCCAAGATCACAGTGCCAGTGTGACACCGCAGCCTGACGTAGGGCTTTCAAGAATACACTGAACACGAAGCCTGAGCATGCAGGACTAATACATGCAATCACCAAATGCTAATTGGTTTCTAAGGCAAGCTGTATCAGATGAAATGTAAACCAAAACAGAATCTGTTTCTCCAAGGCTTTTAAAGTTAAAAGCCTGGCTAAGCTTGGGTAGTTAGAACCAATAACACTCAGATATTCCCTTTGATCCCATATTCCTGCATGTCCATTATGAAACCATCAATATCGTGTGAAGGTTAGAGGGAAGGTGTAGGCTCTCTGAGGATTGGCCAAATGCTACCTTCGCATCTCTCCCAGCTCCTCTTTCCAATATTTGTCTTCATCAGTGATTTTGATACCATAAACAATGACAGCACACATCAAACTCAAGGCAGTGAGGGGATAAAGAAATAAGAGATGTTTGCTAGGGAGGATGCTGGCCCAAGCAAATGCGCTGCTGCCTGGCTAGAGATTTGCTGTAATACTGCACCTCTAAGTATTGTATTTGCCTCAGGCAGCTTCCCTCCATATAAAGAGGAACATTAAATCAACAAATATTTATACACATTGACTTAGAATTCTGTGAATGCAAAAGTCATTCCATCTCGGGGCCCTAAACTGTAAAGAAGTTCCTAGGAGGACAGAGCATGGGTACAACAGCAATGAGGTCTCTGACCATCTGCTCTTGCTCCCCTGGATTAGATGGGAACTTTCTTCATTTATTTGGGATGGAGAGCAGAGTAAAGGTGTGCAGTTTGTCCCCTTAAGTATCTACCAGATTCCAAAGTCTAAGAAAATATCAGCACTGCTTTGCCAATGACTCCCAGAAAAAGATTGTCACAGGGATTATTTGCTGGGGACAGAGGAGGTAATAGCCTACTGGTGCTGTGCAATCAGTGCTTAATTAAAAGTCCTAAACACAGCAAAAAATCTGACAAATTGTTGGGAAATGGGACAAAACGTCTATGGCTGGAGTTTAGATTTTTTTTTTTTACCAGATGCTAAAATCAATGAGCTGAGACAATAAATGGAGAGAGGTGTAGCTGATCTACAGGAGGTCACTGCATGCTTCTGCCTCTGTCACCGAGAACAGTAGAGTTCATGCCATGGAAAGGCTGCAGTATCTTTTCCAGCTTCCGTAATGTCTGCACTGCCTTTTTTAGGACAAAGAAACCCCTACCTGAAGGCTATGCTGCATAGAGGAAAGTGGCATAGGCGGGCAAAGTTCCGTGAAAAGATTCACAGTGGCCTGCTCCATAGTCCCAGGGCAAACTCGGCTTTGCGAATGGGATGCCAAAGCTCAGGTGCCTCATACACCAGGCAGTGGTTGCTTTGGGGTCCCATTAACTCTTTGCTTTTGGGTCACGTGGGTGGAATCACCATCCCTTGCATTGTCCAAGACCACGTTGGACACAGGGACTTGGAGCAAGCTGCTCTAGTGGAAGGGGTCCCTGCCCATGGCAGGGGTTGGAGCTGGAGGAGCTTTCAGGTCTGTGATTCTATGAGCTCTTGAAGGGACTCTGCTCCTGGGCAGGTCTGAGCTTTCAGACTCATCAGGATGTCCTGATTCCCCCAAAAGCAACATCTTTCTGATACAAACAGATCTCCAGTGCTAAGAAGTGGAGCTGAGAGTGTGCTGTTGCCATAGCAGGGGCAGGGGAATCTATGGAAACCCTTGAAAGGGGATTGCTGTACGTACTTGCAAAACAGCACAGCCAAAAGCAGTACCAGGGCACTTACAAGGCATGCTGTGAAGCTGGGATAATTTCCATCCATTTAGCAAAGTGCTTCCAGTCCTCGTTTCAGAGCAGGTAAAAGGAAAATACAGTAAATATTGAACAAACAAAGTTAATCTGTAGCCACAGCACTTTACCCAAGAGAAAGCTCAAACCATCTGACTGTTGCCTGCTTCTGGTTTATTATTTTCCTCTAAGGCAGGATGCCTTTTTCTGTTGTTGTTGAAAAGACTACAGCTGTGTGATGGTTGGTTGCTCTCATTCCCCTCCACACACAGACATGCTAACCCATAAGGCACAGGTGAAAATCATGGGGTAGTCAATCCCTACGGCAAACGCAGACATTTTAGTAACATGATATATATCTGTGAGTAATCGCACACTTTGCTCTTCAGTTTGGTGGAAAAGTGCCCTTGAAAATTGCTTACTCCTACTAAAATATACTGGATTTGTACTCCAAGGGACAAAGCAGAAGTACAATGAATAACTGCAAGCAGGAAAAAACAAGTAAGGTTCTTTGAATTTGTCCTTTCACAGAGATTTAGGACTCGGTTCTTAAAGTTTTTCTTACTATTGCACTGTGCTCTGTTCTTGGCTACAGTAGTTGAAATATCAACTGGTGTGGCTAAATTGGTTCTTGAAATTTGCAAGCAGGGTTACCAGGGATGAATTTTATTTTCAAGGCTAATACAGTTATCAGTCTGATTTTGTCTTTTACCACTTACATCATCATGACAGTCAAAAGCATTATAAAATGCCTGACCAGAAATGTTCTGTTGAATACATCATGAATGGACCCAAATTGCCTGTGAAGATTGCAAATCCTTTGTTTTGTGGAGAAAATGCTAATTGCTCATTTTCCATTGAACTCAGGCATTTTGGGACAAGATCATATTTCATATTCTCTTTTCTGGGGAAATCTTCACTGGATATAAATAGTTACAACACTCAAATGACTTACAGCAGTCTTAGTGAAGGTGTTACTCTGGTAGGGAAACGTAACTGGTTCTGCAAGTTTCCTTGAGATGATTTCAACCTGCCTGCTGTTGTGCCTACTAGAGACACTTCTCATCCATTGCTAGCTACAGGGACCTTTGAAATTGCAGAAGAATTGGGGTGTTTCAGGGCCAAAAGGGCTCATTTTGATTTCTGACTCTGGGTTCTTGCATTTTAATTCTCATGAGCCTTTGGTCCAGGCAGGCAAGCATGCTGACAGCAGGTTCAGAATAGGTGGCAGCAGCTACCCTCATCTTGATCAGCTCAGAGTCTCCAGGATATTTGCAGAGCAAGTCTTGAACTTGACATTCTGTGTCAGGTAGGGAAGTGTTTTAAAAGTCCTCTGCCACCATGTTTGTTCAATGTACTACATAGCCCTGTACAGATCACAGAGGGCAGTGTCATTTTTTGGCTGGGTCTTTTTTGCCTTTTCTCAGAACCAAGGATGAGCGGAGGCCCTTTCAAGAACATGCAATCTTTTGGGTAGCATCAAGCTACCTTTTTGTTTGTAGGGATTTCTCAGTCTGCTCAAAAATGAAGATGCTCTCCCAGAAGGGAGGGAAAGGTCTCTCTCTTCCCTTTTCTCCAGAGGAGAGAAGATTTGAAAATGGCAGTTATCAGACATTCAGTCAAGCAGATGGTCAGCTGTGCTCAGCACCATTTGGATCACTGTCACAGTTTAAGCTAAACTAGAACTGGTTTAAACTAAAACCATCAGCGTTATCAGCATTGTTCCCTGGCTGAAAGTCAAAAACACAGCACTGCACCAGCTACTAAGAAGGAGAAAAATGACTGCTACTGCTGAATCCAGGACAATCACATTTTCAGAACTATAACAGAATGAAAACAGTAACACCAGAGCAGAGGTATAACACAGCAAACCATACAGACACGTAAGGCACAAGCAGCCATTAGGTGAAAGGCAAACATTATTTAGCAACTCACAAGTTCATAAATGGTAGGTTTACAGAAACTTAATCCCCTTCTACTCGTTAGGGGATTTCACTACAAACCAGAAATAGCTGATCGGGAATAGGAGCAATGTATTTAAAAGAATGAAGCACACTTCAGAAAACTCCTCTGAATCCTTCAAAAAGTAAAAGCACTAATTAAAGAAAGATGTTTCTGTAAGAAACAGCCACAGGTTTACAGGGTGGGAATTGGCTAACTTAGAGCCTGTTCTGTGCGTCTGGCCACTGCCTGGCAACTGCAAATCTTCACACTATAAAAACTCTTTCAGTAACACTTTGAAATACTTGCCCAATCATGTTTAGTTCACTTGGGATTTATTATAATACCATTAGATGGGATTATATCATTTGGTTTATTGTCAATTGCATTTCCATATTGTGTCCAGTGGTTTTATGATGTGGACAAATATTACACCAAGGACTTAGGCTCAGGCCATCACATTTAAATTCTTTTCCTGAGTAACAGTTGGCAGAAATCCTCATCTCAGACATCCAGGCTGCAAAACCCTCCTTGGAAGCAAAGGGGAGACCAAACACAGTTTTATGCTATTGAGAGGATTGCTCCAATGGTGCTGTGTGTTCTAGAGTTTGCTGAATCCACCTAAGTGCTGGAATCAAATGCAAAATGCATTGTCTATCTCTCCCTTCACCTTGACTATAAAGACCACAGTGAAGTACAGATCTGAGATCTTCTGATTCATAATGGCCGGCCAGAGCAGGAGCATGAGCACCAGGACAGATGCCCTAGCCTGACAGGTATCTAAACTACCTGGAAAGCTGGTAATGAACTGAAGCCCTCAGACTCAAATGTCTGATCACATCTGCTTTCATATCCAAAACATTAAATGCTTCCAACAGTAATAAGGCCCTAGAGAAATGAAATCACCATCAGGGGCAACAAGAAGGACATCAGACTTCTTGTCTCACCAGATTAAAATCCTTTTGTACTATGCTTCTCACCACTCTTTCAGGACAATAAGTAAATAACCCCTTTTCTTATAAAGTGAACAAGAACAGCTTAGATGTATTGGATTGCATAATGCATTTTCAACAAGAGTTTTATTGCTGTCACCTCTAATAGAAATTAAACGTGTGCTAATGGCCTAGGTAACAGGAATGCAGGTTTCTCTGTATGGGAAAAAGTGTTGCTTTCTAACAAACTTACAGTCATGTTAGAGAAGAAGGTGGATTTTGTTGTTGAAAGCTGCCTGGAAGTATTTTAAAGAAAGCATATGGCAAAGCACAGAAAACATCTAAGGAAACAATAATAAAACCAAAACATGATAGAAGTATCAGTACTTCACAGCAGTAATAATAATAACCTTAATAATAAAAATAATGCATAATGGGACTATACAGACAAAGAATCGGCTCTAAAACATATGTGGTGAAAGATCTTCATGTTGATGAATCATTTGTTCTGATCATAAAATAATATCCATAATTTGAAAGTTAGGTGTTAAAAGAAAAATTAATCTGGTCAAGAGTTGGTCTGCTTGTGAAAATGACCATGATGCTCTGATTGCAATGCGTGTGCCTGTGTGCAGCACGTGAGCAGGGAACCCAACGTTCCTAACCCCTTCCACCCCAGTGGGAGGAGGCAGTCCTCCTCAGTGGAAACTTTCCCTCTTTCCCCTGTGCAAAAGCAGAATGGGGCAAGACTGTGGTGGAGTCTTTCTGCAAGCCTTGGAGAAATGTGATGTCTTCAAGGCCTCTTTCCCCCTATCAGGTTTGACCAAACACAGCTGCTGGCTCAAAGGACGTGCAATGAGCTTTGCAGATAGTCCTTTGCCTGTGTTGTCCCTGGTGGGAACCAGACAGCCCAAGGAAGCTGTGAAGAGGGTTTCTCTCAGTTGGAACCTGGCCTGTGGTGCTGTTTCTAGTGGAGAGTCTCAGTGCATCTGTAGGGAGGTTTATGCCTCCTTCTAGGCACCAACCAATATTTGGCCTGGGGAAAGCAAATGAGTCACATCTGCACAGCTCCTTGGCAAACAAAAGCCCTGTAAAGCTCTTTCTTTTAGTTAGTAGGTTCTCACAGGGAAGATATATTTTCATGGGAATTTACATTTTTTTGCCCTTGAGAGAAATTTCACTGTTTTCCTTAATCAAAAGCCGTGTCATTTTTACCACTAAACATCTCACTTCTTCCCATCTGGCCAGAAACACTCCAGTGAGACATGGGCTTGGAAGAACTTGCAAGCCTTGGAGGGCCAGATACAGCAGACCAGGCTGACTCAGTTCCTTTATGGCTCTATGCAGTGGGCTTGCCTATAAGCGCATATCCCTGTGTGGATGTAACCCCAGCATGTGCAGTTCCTGGCAGGTGTAGAGCAGAAGCCAAGAGACAGAGCAGATCTAAACCGCACTCTCTCCTGGAACAGTCAAACAGACTTCAATGGTGCTTGAGCAGTGGTGAGCCTAACTGGAAGTGATGGATTTGCTGGGGAAAGACCGCTACTGACCATGTGGGCAGTGTGGAAGAGCTGCCCCACACTGTCCTTGCAGCACTTCCCAGCACAGCTGGGCAGCTGTGCACCAGCTTAGCCCTGGATTGCAGTGAGATGGTCCATTTTGTTTTGGACTTGGGTCCTCCCAAAGTCACACCTCAAGCACACATGCCCATGTAACCTTGCGTAACCTCATGTATAACTGCACGAGGAAGCAGTTTTGGGGTCTATTTAAGACGTGTTTTGCCTGTAGGTCTGTTGATCATGGAAGTTATAGAGATCTCTGAAGAAGAGCTACTTGAAATTTACCATTGGGTATATTTTCCACATTAAGAGGGAAGGAAACCTCAAGGAAAAATGTCAGTTTTTTTAATTAATTCCAAAGAAGTAAACCCCTGGTAATTGAGAGAGTTCATTTTGCATTAGCCAACAAGGGAAACATTTCTCTAACAACTGAGAAATGGAAGTGTGCAGTCTGTCATGCAGATATTTCCTGAAACATTCAACTGGATAGCTTCTTCAGTTGCTGAAAACTGGGGGGAAAAAATCAATGGATTTTTCTTCTTGCAATGAAAAATATTCTTAGTTTGTGCACACTCAACAGTTTTGCAGCAGGGGAGAATTTACTTGACCCCTTTTGTGTCCAGCACTACAGCAGTAAAATACAGGCTTTCCATTTTCTCTCTGCAGCACTTTGCTTATGATCCTCTCCCTTCCCATTGCGATTTCAGCTGCAATTACCAGTTCTGGACTCATGTAGGATTGACCTGAGGACTAGAGAGACCTTTTTACCCCTAAGGAGGTTGCCAACAAGCATGCCATGGAGAGAGCTATCACTGGAAATGAGGTCTTACATGTGCTACCCTCTGAAGCATGCCACAGAGTGAAGGGCAAGAAATGCAGGACAAGAAGTTCTCAGTCTGCTTGCTCTAATACCCTCACAAAACCTAGTTCTGCAAAGGCCAAAATTATCAAATGGGGAGACTGAGCCCAGGAGCCTACCAATCGAAACTGACGGGAAAGGAGACAAGAAAATGAGGCTGGATGACTTAGAGTCCACTGAATTTATACAGAGCCTCACTTTTTCTAGCCC